ATTTCCTGTAAAATGACTGAGCTGCAACACTGTAGAACCAAAATGAGTCACTGACACAGACCAGGCACACCAAAGACCTTGTGGTAAAACGCAGTTGTACTGACAGTATTTCTTTTCTTCAGAAATCACCTTTTATAGTCTCAGGTCAGAGGTGTAGTGTTTCTACTTAAACTTTCCAATATACACTATGTTTTAGTAATTTGGGGTCGGTAATATTTTAAGTGCTTTTGGAAAAAGAAGCTCACCAAGGTGGCGTTTATTTGGTTAATATAACAGCTAAAACAGTTAAAAGTAATGATGTTAAATGTTATTATTTTTTAACCACATTTGAAAACTTATGTTGTAACCTGTTGTGAGAAGTTTTGACTTGAAAAATGCTAATTGGCTAAATTAGATAGCACTGACTTGAAAAAAATGCTAATTGGCTAATTGACAAGATTTTTAGGCTACAGGGATTTTTGGAGTTTTAGGCTATTTGACAAGATTTTTAATATTATTTTGACACAGTTCACAAGAGTGCATGTTCAAGTGCATGGTACTGACATGGCGTTTAGTGATTATACAAGGTTGATAAATGTTATACTGTACCAACTTAATGTCACTTTTATTTTCTTGCATTATCCTATAAAACTGCAGCTCATTTAATTTTTTGGATCATCAGTGAAGAATTACTTTGCTCAGTGTTGAATCTCTTGTTTGCAGAATCTGTGTTAGCAGATCAAGTCTACATAGATGTATCTGTACAAAGAGATAACAGATATCTTTCTTTACTCCTAATTACACTTAGAATGTTTTATTTTAATTACCCAAGTACCCAATTATTTAGAATTACTTTGAATATAAGTTTTTTTTTTAATTTTCTTCAAATTTTTTATGATTTAAATCTTTTTTTCTTTACATTCTCCAAATGCGATATATCTAACACAGACCATTAAGTAAATTTCAATTTAAAAACAGAAATGTGTTATGTTCTGGGATTGAAATTGCTTTGGGTCAAACTATACTTTTTTTTTACAGTATCCTTAAAAAAACTATGATTTAATAAAGATTATAATTTATAATTACTGTCAGAGTAGTACATAAAATAAGGATCTTAGTTAGGGAAATAGCATTAAAACCTGAACATGTCTCTACTAGAATTGACTACTTTACTATTTTGATTCATCCCTGTAACTCAAATTTATTCTTATTCCTTTCACCATTTTTATTCAATTTTTTTATTTTATTTACCACACTGTTCAACAAATAAAATATCATTGTCATAAACTTCTGCTATCTTGCATGTGTTGCCAAGTAATGGCAAAGAGTTTACACTTAGTTTTTAATCTTGAGGTTAATGGATGGAGTTTAGCCATCAGTTTTACAAAGGAAAAGTGGTTTTCATGGGTACAAAGAGGACACAAAGAAGTTTGTGTTTACTGTTAAGTAGATGTGTCATGCTTAAAAGCACACTTTAGATGATAGCAGCAGCATGCTTCATTCTCTGGAGCAAGAATAAAGTACCATATGCCAACTCTGATCCACGAACAATGAAGGCTGAAATAGATTTTTCTGTTTCTATTAATGCCCATGCTACTGCCAGACCTGTCCTTATCATCTTACACCAGTAGAAAAGGCAGAAAATTCCTTTTTTCTTCTAAGATGTCAGCTATAGGACATGTTATTTGCTCTGCAATCACAATCATTTGTCCATATATTCTTGTTTAAAGGGAATAACAGGTTTACACATATTGAGGCGATGAAAGTGTCGTTTTATTTGGAACAGCAGAGGCTGCCTGACTATACATTAAGATCAACAGAACGCATAGATGTATGTATGCGCAGCGTGCAAAGCTTGAGCAAGATTGAGTGAGATGTTATCTTCATTGTAGATCTTACTGGCTGGAGATTTCACGTGAACACTCCCTCACAGCCTTTGCTGGAGTTCTGGAGCAAAAGGCTGCCCCCCAATGGCGCAGCTTTTCACTGCCTCACACACACACACACTGAAACAGACAGCTGTACATTGCTTCGCATCTGATTCTTAGAATCCTTCCAGGGCGTATCTGAAAATGTAGTCTTGATGTTGCTTTATTTCCCATTTTTTTCCGTTCCTTTCTTCTTCCGTGCCTCTGCGGCAATTCAACTGCGATAACGTGTCTCATTCTGTGTATGGCTTTAGTCGCCCAGGAGGGTCTGTGTGCTGCGTAATGTCAGCCTTGAAGCATGAATCCAAAGCAGATCAGAGAACTGAGAGGGTCCTCAGCACACAGAGGTTTGTAGCTCTCTCCACCTCTCCTTGATAATCCCGCCAAAGGAAAAGAGCTGTGACATACAAACAGATTTTTCAACTTGCCACTTTCACTCTGAGCCATTAATGAACATTCATTCGCTCTTTTTTTATGAACGCTCTCGAAATGCTATACGACCAGTCGACCATGTTGCCTCGCTTAACATAATCGAAATGCTTTGTGTCTGCCTGATTAGCTTAATATCATCTGGACTTTTGCATTTGGTAGTAGTGAGACTATGCATGGCACAAAAGTATATGCTCAGGTCTCAAACAGAAAATTCAAGCAGGGCATATTCATTTTTATTATTATTATTATTATTTTTAAAAAGCCAGTAGACTTTATAAATCAGTCATGAGCTTGATTTGCTACTTGTTAGTCAATGGCAGATGTTATTGGGGCAAGGACATTCTAATACAGATTGGATAAAAATCTGTTGAGTGCAGAACGAGTCATCAATATTTTTGCTTTTTTTTTCCCGGAAGAGAAAGAAACTTAGGATTACTCTAAAAGATAAAAAACAACGAGACTAAACTCTGTTTCATTTTATGAGGTCTTGATATACTATGTAATTACTCCAGTTGATAGTATGTAATGAGATTTATCATAGTCATGTATAAGTATCACTAAATCAATGGTTTATTTGGGTCCTAAAGAAGTGTCTCTTCCCTCATTAGAACTTCAACCACTATGTTTGTTATGCAAGGTATGAAGCACTATAATTACACCGCTTTGCTAATGGCCTTATATTTTACTTATCTGGAGACATGTCTGCTAAACATAGCTGCAGTCATAATCTTACAGTGAGCACTTAGCATTCTCCACAGCAGGAATGACTGGATTTAGAATTGGAAATACTCTACAATTGTGCCATAAACAGTTTGTGGGTTGCCGCCACAAAAAAAAAAGCCATATCCTCTTGAAATAAAAAAAAAATCACAGTTGTCTGCTTGATCCAAAGGCCCACACAGTGAATAAGTGCTGATCTCATTCTGTATAATTTTAACTGCTCTGATTTTTTTTTTACGAGCAAACAATATTAAAAAATGTGAGCAGATGTAAAGAGCTGGGATTTTTTTTCCTAAAATATCCAATATAGAGGTTTATATGCATGCACACAATTACATGCATGTTAACGACCTGTAAATGAATAGGACGGCATGTAGACTTTTTTCACGCACTTTCTCTTTGCATTACCCACCAAGCATCCAATATGCTTTACTATACTTTTCTAGGTCTTTATCATGCACGGGTAATTGTGTGCACGCGTGTCTGCTTGCTATAGGCTCTAGGCGGCAGCCGGCGCAGTCAAAGGCAGTCTAATATTAGCACCTCACTGATGGCTTGCTGTATCTGGACGAAAGAGGGTGATAAATGAGGATAGCAGTGGTGGGGGCCTTGGAGCAGAGGAGGGAATTTAAAAGGGATAGCATCTCTGTTTTACCGCTGAAGAGCCTGCATGCATGTCCCATCCTCATCAGAGAGGATGTAACGCTCAATCTACATGTGACGCCTAGAGATTAGCCGGAGACGGCGTCGAGATCATGATGTAAGTGAGGAAAAGAGAGGAAGAGGGCAGTGTGGTGCTGGTTTGCTTTCCCTCTCCTCTCCGGTCGCTGATTTTATCCCATGCACTGCTGTCCGTCGCTAGCCTCCCTACCTGCACGGCTCATCCCTCCCCCATCGGCACGGGCTACTCTCCCCCCTCACTCTGCCCAAGCCTGGGGGAGCCAGTGGAGATTAAATGTAGCCTCTATAAGCCAAGCACATCATGTAGCTGTGTTTCTGGGGCCTCTCTCTCTCTCTCTCTGTCTTTCTCCCTCACTTTCATTCTCTTTTTAAAGGACAGCGTTTATGATGCCGGGCATGTGATTCCAGAATGTCAATGTCATTGGGAATACCAAATGTACAGATATTTTGAGTAAATCATGAAAGTCTCTCGTTTTCTATATTATTTCTCTTTACCAACATCCTCCCCCTTCGGGTTGATACTCCGGAGAAGGGGGCCTCTGCCTTTAAATGATCACAGCTGTGCGTGCAAATTAATGGCGATTTCTCTGTTTTCCCTCCTTCTCCAACTTTTTTCAACGTGGATTTGTAAAGAGGGAAAGATGGACCGGGGTGTCACGCTTCTGTTCCTCCCCCCCCTCCTCTTTTCAGTTTTGCATGCATCTCAGTCTGCTCAACTGAGAGAGAGAGAGAGAGCGAGAGAGGTGGTGAGGGAGGGAGAAAATGAAATGTAAGACAGATACGGAGAGTGAAAGAGAAGAAGGGGGTGTGGAGAGAGCGAGCTAGCGAGAGTGGAGAGCCAGTAACGCTGTGCATTGATGCATTTGCTCCGTCTCAGTCGTGCTCTTTCAGCGGGAAGTAGCCCGGGGTTTTTGGCAGCGGCAGGCTGCCTGTTTTCCATCATCCGATCGAGCCAGACCTGGAATAGGGATATACGCGTGAACGGAGTTGCCGCGGCTGAGCAGCACTGGACGAGTGAGGTGAAGTGAATGAGTGAGTCTCTGTGCTGTGTGTGTGTGTGTGTGTGTGTTTACCCCTCCTCTCCTGAGATCCAGCAGACTGGTATGATTTGCTGGTAGTGTGGCCCTTGCTGCTGCTCGGACACTCTCTCATCCTCAGTGCCATCACACCACCCTTCGGCTTTTCCTCATCGGCACGCTCTCCACCTCTGCCGCTTTTCCGAAAAGCTATAACATGGACGTACGGATCTGTGCTTTAATATTACCATCCAACCATCTCCTCTCCACCTCTCCTCCTTTTCGTTCTCACACGAACAGCCGTCCAGTCAACCTGACCGTATGACTCTCCTTTTTTCTTTTCTAGCCTATCAAATTTGCACAATTTTGTCAGTGGGTCTAGCAACAAAAGTTGAAATCTGAGATTTCTCTCTTTCTTTCTCTGACCCACTTTCTTTGTCAAGCAGGCTGCGAGAGAAGTTCGATCGGCTTAATGCTCATCCTCGCGCCAGGGTGAGTTTAAAACCATTTTCTGCTTCTCCCCACCCACAGCTGTAGCATCTGTTAGTGTCTTCATTACCTTTGTCTGTAGCAGCTTGTGCTGGGCTTGCCAGTTAGCAGTAAGCTAAATTCTTGTATTAGTCGATAACTCTCCATGGTTTAGTCAATGTTAGAATTTAGTGGTTTAGAGTAACCAGTGATGTATGTTGGGACCACCAGTATTACGTCGCAGTGGCTAGACAGAGAGCTTTTTATGATTAACGTTGAATGCTTGTGAAGAGAGCTTAGCGAGACAAGAGCTGGTGAAGAGTTTACCTGGAGCCAGGGGCATTTTTTCAAAGTGCCTTATTGTTCAATGGTAGCGACGGAGTGGGGGTGATGGGAAGAGAGGGGGAGAGAGATTGTAGGGGGAGGGAGAGACGGGTCAGTGTTGTGTCTAGCTGAAGGTTGCACTTGTTGTGTCACAGACAGACAAACAAGTGTCAGGGGATTGGGGAATGCGCAAATGCTGTAAATGAGTAGATGGGCCTTTTATTGCTATTGATTCTTCTCATTTTTGTTGTGGTGGTGGGACACATCAGAGTGTGACCTTGTGCTCGAATTTTGTTGCAGGTTGGCGGTCAATCTGCAAATGTGCCTCTCACAATCCCTGAGACCCTAACTTGTGACGTTTTCCTGTTATGTGCACGGGTTAGGTTCTTGGGAGCTGAGAGGGGCGCTCTGTCATCAGCCTGCCGGCGTCGGAAACAAAGACATTTTAGTCAACGGTGAAGCACAACTGACAGAGGAGAGCGGAAGCAGCTAGTTGTGCGTATAAAGGGACAGTGTGCATGGGATGGGATGGGATGGGATGGGATGGGGGGGGGGGGAAGAAATGCCGGCATAAGGGTCATGTGATGCGCTAGTGGGTAGGATCAGCTGAGGATTCATTGTTGGAGGGATAAGATTAAAAGGGGGATTTTTGATTCCTTTGCACTTCTTGAGTTTGATGTCAAATGCTGCCAGGCCAGGGCCTGTTAAAGGATTATAATGAAACCTGTCATCATTTATTCACTCTTACCTTGCTCCAAACCTGTATGAATGTTTTCTTCTGTGGAATGCAAAAAAAGATTTGCAAAATATATTTGTCTAGACAGTGGAAGTCAATGCATTCTTGCATGTTCCGCAAAAGAAAGTCATATAGATTTGGACCGACATGGGGGTGAGTAAATGCTGACAGAATTTTTGATATCTATTCCTTTATTGAACATATTATATATTTTCAATTTCAGATCTTGAGAGCAGCACAAAGTACTATGGAGAGCGTCATGCTAAAGGCTCGGTACACTTGTGTTTGACCTCAGAGAGCCCTCAACCGCTCACCTTGTAGATGGGGATGTCATCTTTTTAATGTGTGCTGAGTCATGTGTGTGTTTGTGTTAAGTCCCTCGTGCTTTCTGTCGTGGCTTTAGCATGTAGCTAAGTGCTGACTAGGCCTCTTTTCTTTGGGTTGTTGACGAACCTTTAACTAAACCTGAAGATTTAGACACTAAACCTTAAAGATCTTCAACTGGAAGACATCATCAGTTGTTGAGAGCTCACTAATGCTCTTTTGTGGTTGGTTCCATTTTCTTAATGTGTCAGTGGACCACTTGTCCATTCTTGTGGCACGTCTTGCTGCTGTTTAAAATGGCATTGCGGCAACATTTCACCAAAGGAATGACTCAAAGCTATGCGGGAGCTACGGTGAGAGAAACTATTGCAGACTCTACACAAACACCTTTACTGTCTAAGACCTTTTTTGGCATTTCGAGAGAGAGAGTGAGAGGCTTAACGAGATAAAGGCTTGCCCAGAGTTCATGGACGGTGCAGTTTTGCGATTTAAGGCATCAGCCGTTGCATCGTACGTATAGTGCATCGTGCCATCACGCCCACATCCCTGTCTGTCTTTCTTTCTCTAGCCACCATTACACCCACTCTACCTCTCTCTATCTATCAGTGCCCACTGTCACATTTAAAGAAAACTCTTCATCACAAACAGTGTAGTTGCTATTGCATGATATGTGGCGGTTTTTGCCATAGGGAGAGCAAACAGCGAAGCTCTTCGTCTCGGTACATGTCGAGGTAGCCATGCTCTTGCTCTCTAAGAGGATTTGTCTGAAACACTCTGCTTTGATTGCTTACTGAATTTCTGATGGAAATCATAAAGCTTTTTCATGCATTTCGGAGTTTTTTTCGAATGAAAACGAAAGACTTGTAGCAGGCCAGTCTCTTCCATTGCATAGCGTGCTATTATATTGACTTTACCCCTGTCTCTGCAGTGCTGTGCTTTGGCGTCTAGGCTGCAGCTCTATTGTTCACTCCTGTCTCCCTGCGCTCACGTTGCACTCCAATGACACTGGGATAGCCTCCCTGAGCCTGGCCCACTTTTAAGGTGTACCGGTGAGCATGGTGGAAGCAGTACAACCGTGTTTAAGACAGACTGCGACAGGTTTACTAACTTAGAACAAAGGCTGCCGCAGTGAGGAAGGTTGTGCAGGTGGAGTGTTAGACAGCGCCAGGGTGGGGCCATGGCTAAGCAGCACCGATCTATCCAGCCAGAGCCATCCAGTCAGGTCCAATTGATCTGCTGAGACTTCAGATTCAGTCTCACCTACCCCGGTGAGAGTTTTGCCCCAGTCTTCTGTAAGAGTTTCCGAAGACATCCTTCTGAATAACTAAAGCAGCTCAGGTCTAAAAGTGGTGCAAAGGTAGCCTGTTTGATGGAACAAGATTATTAGTCAGTGGTGGTTTAAAGGGTATGTGAAATTTGGTTGGTATAGTGATTAATCCTATTCCTTTTACAATATAGGTAATTTTGATTGGGTTTTCATAAAAAAGAGACTGGACTCATGATGATGACCACATGCGAGTGTGATTTGTTTATCACATTTTTTTTTTTTTTTTTTTAATAAATCATGGCAAGATGGTTTGGAAAGCACGTTGTCTGTCAGAGGCAACACTATTTTCCATGCCCACAGGTGGTGTTGCTCAATATTTGGTTGACCTAAAAATTGATCCAGATTCTATGTTAAGACCTAAAATAATGATTCTGCTGTAGTTACATTTGGTCTATAATGTAAAGGAAGTCACATGGAGAAGGTATGTGCTTGTCCATGCTCTCCAAGTGGGAAGATTAAATGAGAATGTACTGTATTAAGTAGAGAATGATGCATCTCAGTGATTTTTATTTGAACATACAGTCGTTGCTGAGTTGACGATCGCGTATGTCTGTCATACCTTCATCCACATGCAACATTCCTGAATACTTTCCCCCTCGGGACAAGGGTAGGCTACAGCTAGTTCAATGATTAATGATGCTAAAGAGCACAGCTGTGTGTGTACGGAGAGTGTAATGATATATCAGCCAGTTTGAATTAAGCACTTATAATTGACCATTTTGAGATTATCAGCATCAACTGAATGCCCTATGTTTTCTAATTAACATAAGTGGTGCATTTGCAGTTAGTCATTTAGATAAAAACACAAAAAGATGTAATATCTACATTCTCTCCTGTGTCATTTCCCAAATCAACCAACAGCCCTGTCAATTAATATTAAACATTTTCTATTTCAGTTATTGTATTGAATATTTGGTAAATAAGGTTACTTTAAGGTACTTACTGTATGTCTTATTTAACATCAAGTTGTATCATGCATATTTCAGAATTATATTGGCCACCTCACTCTATGGTATTAACATTGCAAAGCCCATTTTGGTTGACCACTAGACGATTGTACCCATATAATGGAGACTGCCTGCATCTACATAGGTCCATCATAGCGGCATAGGCTCAGCTGCTCACTTCATAATGAACGTTGAGAGAGTTCGCTCTCGGCTTGGCCATATGCGCTGGCGGGCTGGCACCTCAGACCTCAGTACAGGTTAGAGCAGCTTAAGGATTACCAGCACAGGCATAGGAAGATTAATCAGCTCAAACCTAACTTAATTAAGCCAGCGGGGAAATGTCACCAGTATATATCAACAAGCCTTTCTCTTTCACTCAGCCCTGCCCGGCTCAGGAATGCAAGGATAGGTCAGTCCTCTCCTCTCATCCTCTGGCCCGGACTATACGTGAAGCTCACCGAGCAGAACAATATTCCTTTCACTGCACTCAGGTCAGTTGGTTCATATGGAGACGGCCTGGAATTCCCCTTACTTACTGTGGGAATGTGCTGCTGGGTCGGACCTGTTCTGGCTCATCTCTGCGGAAGCCAATGATGTTAGATTTTAGCTAGTTTTAAAAATAAATAAATGATTAAACTTAAGGATGTAGGACTGATCTGATTAATTTGGCAGCCTGGCCCATGAATATTAATTGGGTGATGTAATGTTCCAACCACAGCTTTCCATTTACGCTTTTGCTCAACTACTGAGGCTTTTCTTCAGTCTTTTTACGTGTCTGGCTAAACAAAAATTCTTTATGGTTTGATCAAACAAAACATAACGACAAGCTGTTAAACTATGATTATTGCTCAAAAACGGGATGGAGACATCCTAGAAATTTCAAAAAAAAAAAAAAGTAAAAATAGAGGGAAATGTTGCAGCTCTACCCAAGGTTGCTGAAATTATTTATTCAATTGAGCTGATGAGTAATGTTAATTAATAAAATCCACTATTATAACTTATGTGTGTGATTATCACTGATATATATTAAATACAGTACCTTTCAAAGTTTTGGGGTTGGTAAGATTAATTAATGGAAAGACTGCATTTATTTGATCAAAGAATACAGTAAAAACTAATAAAAATGTGAAATATTAATGCAATTTTAAAACAAAATGTATTCCTGTGATGGTAAAGCTGAATTTTCAGCATCATTACTCCAGTCTTCAGTGTCACATGATCCTCTCATATGCTGATTTTCTGTTCAAGAAACATTTCTTATTTTCAGTGTTGAAAACATTTGTGCTGCTTATTTATATTTTTGTGGATAAAGTAAAAAAAAACAGCAATTATTTGAAATACAAACATTCTAAATGTTGTACTGCCATTTTAGATCAAGTAAAATATATTTTTTTAAAATAAAATACGTTTTTTTTTATTACCCTGATCAAATAAGGCTGAAATAAACAAACTGTAATTTATTACCCTCATTCGTTCTTTTAATTTTGCACTCAATCAGAATTTCTTAGCATGATAATCAATCTTCGCCTCTATGTACGTAATTCTCTCCATAATCACGCTTGGTGACTGATTAATTTGTCATTAATAAACATTGTCTCTTTTGGCTGTGGCCCTGTTCCCTCGGGAGCCAGGAATTGTGTCGCTGTGGTGACTGTTGTCAGTGCGATTTGCATGACAGTGGTTGACGTTTGTTTCTCAGAGATTTGCCAGGGGCAGCTAGTGGCCAGGTCTCCGAGTGCCGAGAAAAGCATGGTGGCAGCTCTGTCTCTCACTCTGTCATCATCAGCTCTGCATGTGTGTGTGTGTATGTGTGTTGCCGTCAAATGAGGCACAAAGGAACATTCAAATCATGTTTCTCACACTTCCTCAAGCACCTTGAGGAAATAATGGCCCCAGTGCTGTAAAGGCCAATGCTCATTGGTAACGGGTATTACAGATTGCCAGAGCTGTACCCTAAAGCCTCCCCAATTATATGGCACATGTCTTCAACTTTGGCACAAAGCCTTCATTTACACTGGATGCCTACACGTATTATAAACCGTCAAACGTATTAATTCTTTGCTATAGTGCGATCATACCCACATAGCATGATATCTGGCAGAGCTTGAGACGCTTTTGGCCCTTTTTACACCTGCTTTTTGGTCGGATCACAAGTAGACGAGGCAGACACATACCCGTTTAAACCTGGTGTTTTAATCCGTCTCTTTTGTCCACTATCGGGGGGGTTAAGATCTTTGGATCTATTGGACGAAATAAGCTTGCACAATTTACATATGAACGTGAAAGGAGATGACTGGAAAACTCACGGATAGCAACAGCTCTTGTTTCAACTCTGAAAGCCGCAAGACTACATCGAACGCGATTGAATGCATGTTTGAATCAAGAATTGTGTGAGTTCGTTGTGCTTGATACGTTTTTCATCTTCAAGCAAAACTTGGGTCTATTGAAATCCTGCCTGGCTAGTGCGCTTCCCATAATGTTTACTTTTCTTTTGCCGTTCGGACTCATGAGCGCCTACATTAATAAAGCAGTCCGGTCTTTCCTCTGGAAGTGGACAAGCTCAAAACATTTTAGACCCCGTTCACACCTCAGGACTCTAGACTGCTACCAAAATGGTTGAATATGCTATTTTGCATATTCTACTTTGAGAATGTGTGCATTTGTGCAAGAATTGGTGTCTGCCTACCTGCATTTGCGTTAGGGTCTCATCTAATCTGTAATGTCTTATCAACCACTGCAAGCCGTATATTCTCCTGCAGTTAGTCCCATTGGAGATTTTCCCTTTTGCATCTCGCTTTTATATCGCTAATCCAAATTTGGCTGAATTGGCATTTTCAATGAATTCCTATGGAAGATGAGCCGACTCCTGCTGCTGATCTGTGCTGCGACTCTGAATTGAGCAGACACGTTCAGTTTTTAATTGAAGTGTCTGTTCTCCAACTGAACTAAATGATTTGTAGTAACACCTGTAACACCGCTGACACCGACTATCGTGGCAATCAGTCACATTTGAGAGTTAAAAGATTAAAACATTTTGCCAACATGAGTTCTCGTGTCAATGTCAGTCTTTTTAGGATGCAAAACTAGGGTATGCAAATTAAGACAACTATTCATCAGCATCCATTGATTATTCCCATGTTGTGGCAAGGGGGGTAAAAGTGCAACCAAATCTTGTGCTGGTACAACCAACTGAGAAAATTAGTCACACCAGTGCAACCAGGGGGAAGAACGAGTCTAGAGCCCTGCACTGTATTTAACGTCGTCCATTTGTGATCTGATCGACCAAAACGGCCTTGGGTATTTTGATATTTCAACAACATCTCATTTGATGTTGAATTCGTTTGGCATCAGCTTCACATAACCTTGCTACTAAGGCCAGAATATTGATAACAGATGTTCAGATGGCTTACCAGATCATTGTTCACATGCCAAAGTAATCTCTCATTATTATTTGAGTTATTGTTATCTTAAGCTGTTGCGTTTTTTTGGGTACTTGTATTTTTGTTTTGTTTTAAAGTTCATTAAAGAGTTTAAAAGGGAGATTTCAGTTTATATATGCTATCTGTATTGTTTAAAAAATAAATCTTTGAGTATTTCCAAAAAAAAACATTTTTTCAAAAATATATAGAGCAGGGAATGTATATTATATTACACTATATTATGTATCTAGTCTAATACAATGTGATTTCAAATATTGGAAAATGGCTTCTATCCTATTGCCTTGTACCTGAATGTGTTTAGAGCTAATGTCAAAACGCATTAAATCACCTTTATTCTTTTGTGACTGGTCCAACATATTGTCAATGTATAGTTACAGCAAATCAGACTTGATTAATTTATTTTCAAGAGCTGAATTTATTGATTTATTTGAGCATGTTCTTTTTTATTATTATTAATTTGAATGAAGAAAAAAAAGTGACTTGTGCGTGGAGAGATGGTGTGTGCTGTGGAGGCAGTCTGTCACTGTCTGTGTTTGTGACTATTAACCTGAAAAAAGAGAGACAGAGGACAGGCTGGGTGTGAGCCATCGGCCTCAGACTGTCCTTCCTGTCCTCTGCTTACAAAACATGTCAGCCGTGCGTCCACAGATGCCTGCTTTGGATGGACAGCACGTCTTCTCCTTTCCTCAACCTCCAGGACAACAGAATACACCGTGCTGGCTTGTCCTGATGTTAAGAAAACCCATGTAACCAAAAATACAGATGTGAACTGTATAATAAAGCTCTTCAGTGAATGAGAGAATGTTATAATCATGAAATTCAATCAATCTCTAGAGGTTTGGAGACTTCTAGACTCTGACATTTGTCCTAATGACAAATTTATATTTTTTATATCAGTTTTAAAGAAGCCCAGGATAGTTTTTATAGCCACTTTTTGGATTGACACATTAAGACTGATAATTTGTGCACAGGAAAGATACAATTTGATGTTTAGAAGGACATGTTGTCACTAGTGAGTTGCCAACACAAAGCTTATTATTAGCTTTCAGCAAAATGTAGACATTATGAAACAGAAAAAATATATAAAAATATATACATTTTATTTTTTTAATCATATAAATGTATAGCATTTAAAACATGTGACAACTTGCCCTGTCATGATAAATAATTCTAAAAACAACTCCATTAAATACTTGTATGACTATGATTATCCAGTTTCACAAACTAGGCTTAAGCTAGTCCCAGGCTCAAATGCATGTTTTAACTGAAAGGAACTTACACTGATATATCTTAAAACTTATCACTGCCATTGTTTTGTCTCAAGATGCACTCCAGAAAATGTTTTTTTTTATTCTAAGACATGTTTATAAAAGCTACTTAAATGTCCTAATTGAACCAAGTCCCAATCCTGGCTTAATATAAACCAGGCCTATTTGTCAGTGTGGTTTTTCACTTGTTGACTCAACAAAATTATGACTGTTGTATGAATTAAAATGTGTAATTTTAATGTTTGGCAGAAATAGCTCTAGTCTAGTTTAAGAGACTTTTGAAGAAAAACACATCACTGATTGTGTAATTGCACTTTAACTTAAAATCTCGCACTGATGTACAACAAAAATGGCTGTTTCGTTCCAATTTGTCCATGAATCTCGGGTCTGTCATCAGTGGAGCAGGTGTGTGTGAGGTTTAAAGTGCAGGTCGCAGTGAAGATGTGTGTGTAAAGAGAATGGCGAGATGGCTCAGGGACTAAGCCTGCTCTTAGTCTGCCATCTCAGCCAGGAAAGCCTCTGCAGATTATCCTCGAGCTGACAGCAACCAAAATAGAATGAGTCTGAATCTCTCTTTTCTGTGTATATGTGTATGTGTGTGTGAACACGCGCTGCCCTTTTTCTTAGTCTCTGTCTGTCTGTCTCTTTCTCTCCCACTCAGTTTCCCTCCTGCTGTCATTTCTGTTTTATTCGCGCACTCTCCGAGTCTTATCCTCGCATGGCTTTTGGCCTACTTATTGTATTATCAAGCGTCAGTGTTTCTGGGTTTAAGCGAACGTGCGAATGCCGTTGTGTGTTCGTGTGCGAATGTTTGCATGTGAGCAAGAGGCCGCACCCCATTGATTTGTGCAGAAATCAGCTCCAAATTTTAAATCCGCTATTGGCGCGGCGTTCCTCCCAGGGTTTAGCATAACATTTTTTTGTCTGCCTAATGTTTTTAAGAGCATCCAGCAAACGTTACTGTCTTTATATTGGCGCCTCCCCGATAGCCACGTTACAGAAAACGTTTTTCAGACCACCGTGAGCGAAAGCTCCCTGCGTTTGTCAGTTTAAGACCTTGAGTGATAATAAGCCCTTTGTCTGTTTGTGTCTGTAATTTACAGCCCTTTTGTTTTGAATATAATGTGCTTTGGTTTAATCGCTGTGCGTTGAAACCTTGTACGTTTTTCATATAAGACTAATGTAAA